GTGTGTGTATCGGTGTTTGTGCAACAAGTTGTTGTATTTTTTTTCATTCGTTTTCCTTTAATATGCAGATTGTGTCGCGCTGACTTTAATACTTTGCAACGTCGTCGATCATTTCGCTGGGATGCCAGAGTGCCAGAGTGTGTGTGTGCGAGTAAAAAATGAGAGAAAAAAACAGGCATGTTGTACAAGCAATGTCGCCCGTCTTGTAAAACCTGCAACATGCAACTTGCAACTCTCAACTCGCAACGCAATTTGAAGGAGGAGGCGGTAGAGGTTTGGAGGCGGTGGCCAGGAGAACCATGGAACACAAGGGGCTTCCTTCCACAAGCGCACACACACCAAAGCGCACACAAATTTCCGCGGCCGCAATTTTAATTAAAATTTTCAAAAATTCCAAAGTACTGAACAGCGAAGATTGTGTGCTCTTTAAGGGAAATATTAAAGAAATTAATTGATAAATTACATAAATAGAAAATAAATGAGGGTACTTTATATTTTCGGCTAATTACTTAATTAATACTTGTATAAATTACACAGATTATAAGTTAAACTTAATGGCTTTCAACAAACAAAGATAAAATTAAAGGAATCTTATTTTAAAAAGATTAAAATCACAAAAAATAATTCTACAATTATCTTTTCTTTGGTAAAGTCATAAAACCTAACAATTCATTGAAAAAATATCTTGTGTTCTTAACAAATAAAAACAAATTGAGATCACGAACATTGAGATTAATTTGGAACCATTTTTTTATCCCTATCAGATAGTTCCTATTAACTCTTGAGCTAAGAGATCCAGCAGGTTCCCATCTTGGAGGCCTTCGATTGGCCAAGTTCCCATCACTGTTGCTTATTAATTCGCTTGTATTTTTCTCTGGTTTTTTATTTTTCTTCTGTGGCAAGTTTGAGTTACGCTTTACAGGATTTTACAGATTGCCAACATTAATTTTCATACATTTGCCAGAGCACAGAAGTGTTTTGGGGGTCTATTCAGGCCACCGCGCATGCGCCCCCCAAATAAATATTTATCCAGTAGGTTTTTTATTTTCTCTGCTCATCTGAAGCATGCTGGAATTATGTTCTGGGCGTGGTCAGAAAAAAAAGGGGAACATGTGCAGTTATTCAAGTACTCGTACTTTAATCTCAACCTCTTTTGCGGTGGGTTCAAAAGTGGGGAAAAAATGTCAACCGCTTCTTTACATAATTGAAGCGCGGTAACAAGAAATTCGAAACAAGAAAAAATAACAACCAAAGAAGAAGAACCCAAATGAGAAAATCGTTTAAAAATGCAAATGGGCCCGCACATCGTTCGGCAGCGATGTGTATTCAAATCAGTCCATCGGTCGCCTCGGTTTTGTGGTTGTCGTTTCCTGGCGCTGCATTTGTCAAACGCCGCGGAATTAATGAACCGCAACAGCACCGCCGATTTGTATCTAATGGAGACCAAATAACCCCACTAAACAACCCAAGAGTCCAACGAGCATAGAGGCCCCAGCGAGCGGAACACCGCAATCACAAAAATATTTTTTTGCCCACAAAGCATTTCCTTTTTTTTTGTATTTCGAGTGTTTGGACCCTCGCACGTGTGAAATATTTTCACATGGCACTTCATTTATTTACTCCAACACTGAGGGAAAAATTATTAAAAAAGACTTGAATATATAAATAATATTAAAATTAATTTATAGACTTGAAAATTAATCTTTCACTGCGTTGCAAGCTTCTGACTGAATTAATAAAATTTTTAAAAATAGAGTTAAGAAACCAAAACTATTATAATTTACATATTATAATTTACAATTTTATAATTAAATAACCATTTAGGCTTAAGGAAAACCACCTAAATTAATATTTTAAAAATATGTACCATACTTTTTTCATAATGATTACTAACTATACGATTTTTGGTTTGCTGGAATCATAAACTTAAATAAATAAAGTAAATTTCAAAAGTATTTTAAACTAAAAGTACATATAAAATATATTTATAATAATTAAGTACCCAACTTTAATTATAATTTTTATTAACTATAAACTTTTGGGTTCAATAGAAATAAACTTAAATAAATCTAGAAAATAGGACGTGTAATTCAAAACTTTAAAAAACCTATTACAGCTTTAAGAACTTTATTTTCTGAGTGCTTGCAGGGCTCGGCTTGTTTCCAGGTGTTGTTAGGTTCAGCCTGGTCACCTTATGCTCTTTTTTTCGAGGACAGACACATAAATTTTCTTTATTTTCCTGTTCTATGCCATTGGCAACGTTCGTTAGTTCCAGACAAACACAGCTCTACCCTGGCGTTGTCAATTTGTTTGGCGATATTTGACGTCCCGTAACTCCAATAATTTTGTTGGTCTTTGGCACAACAGTTCGATTGGGTCCGGGGTCCGGTTGATTTGGTATCGATTCATTTCTCATACGCGTAGGCATGCCAAGAATTTATGCAATTTTCCACTTGTAATTTATATTCCGTTGCCATCGTGGCAGAACTGAAAATGGGATAGGTATTATGTATTTACATATATAACATATATATAAATCGGAATCGTTTATGCCAGGTCTTCGATCGCGATAATCGAAGGCAAAGTAGCCTGAACCTTTGGGCACTGGGAGCTAACCACGTGTCGCCTGTCAATCATCTGCACAAGTGGATATTGATATGGAGCATGGCCCCTATGTAGTATATCTCTATGTCTATCTCTGGCCCATTAGATAACCCAATGGCTCTCGGTTAAGTCGGTTTAAAGCTGCCTTATTTATCAGTCAAACGCACACACCAATACACACTACAATCAATTTCGAAACTGTCACTTTGACACTTGAATTCTGTTCTTTTTCTTCAAGCCCCCACTCCGATATTTCCATTCTACGCGGCGGCTCCATTCTTCAGCAGTGCTGTGCCAAATGCCGTAGACAACACGTCTGTAGCCTATTTATTATGCACTGCAAGAAATAGCCTTGAAGGTTAGAAAAACAATTCTTTTATAAAGAAAAATCGGACAAAATTAACAGAAATATGGCTTAAATTACTTTAAAATGAGTCTAAAAGTATGCAATGAAAATGTTATTGTCTTAATTCTCAGTATACTTCTAAGAACTTGATTAATGGTTTTGAAAAAAACCTATAAAGAAGGATTAGTTTTAGCATCTCTTCGAAAAAAGTTATACCAATAAAAAGTGTGACAAAAAACTATCTGCAAGATGTTGGAGAAGCATTATTCATTGCATACTTTTTTACACATTTCTTATTGTTGTACTTTTACCAAAAGATGTTCTAGGCCTTAAATAAGATATTTAAAATATTAATTTATAATTTTTAAATAAAATTCCTTAAGTTTTTCAGTGCTTAACTGAATGAGTGGGTACACATCGAGTATTATGTATTTATCATAAATGCCATTTTATCGTTCTTCAGACTCCCAGTCGTCTTCGTCTTGCGTTTGCCCTCCTCTCGCACTTTGTGGCAAATATTTGTTCATTTGTTTGTTTGTTTGTTTGTTTGTTACGGGGAATGGTATACGAGAGGGATATGGGAGTAGGAACCAGTAGGACTGGCACTGGCAACGGGAATGAAACTGGGACTGCGACTGGCACTGGCACTGGCACTGGGAGTGGGAGTGGGAGTACAACCAAGTACCCGGCTATTTGTGTACACTTTGTAGGTGGCTCTTGTTTCTGCTGTCTTTCCAGTTGTCACCTCTCCTCCTGCAGAGACAAAAAGCCAACTTTGGTAGCCGACAGGCCCTGTCACATTATTCCAAAAAAGAAGTTTAAAAAGAAAGAACTGAAAGCAACTAAAATAACATGAAAAATATCACTCTTAGAGAGTGGGGTAGCACCTTCGGTGGAGGTGACACCTTTTGACACTTGTCCAAAGTGCATCCAACTGCCAAACACAGGAAATGTGTGGCCTCCTCCCCCGTAACCGTTTGCCCCCGGCAATGGATTCTCCGTAAATATTTGTGCATCGCTCCAGAACCAAGTGTTTCCGTGTCTGCCATGTAATGTATATATTCCAAGGCGGCTATATCAGCAGCCGTCGATCTTTCAGAAGAAACGAGTGTTTGTCCAGAGATATCGCTATCAGTTGAGGTAATAGGCCATAGAGACTATAGAAGTTGCCTGTCAATGTTCTGACATATATTGATTATAAAATTAATAACTTTTGTTTAAGGATTCTGAAGGTTCTTTATCAAGTTATTCTTCCTAAATCTCTTATTTAATTTTAACTACGTAAAACTCCTAAATCACAAATAGTTATAATCCTGTTAAACTTGCAATCCCCTTTACCTTGACTGGCTTTTGACTGCCTTCCAGAAATAAATCATATATCGCTGATAAGTAAGTTTCGCTGTTCAAGTTCAAGTTCTGTTTGCAGATATCATATTGTGGTTTATGAGAAACATTTTGCTTCACCAGGCCCGGACCCAGTTCCTGTCCCTTCTCGAGCGGAGTATTGTGTATCCGCTTGTGTATCCAATAACAGCAGAGTAGCCCCCAAAAAGCACTTTTGTTATTTGTTATCGGGGCCCCGGGACTGGTGCACGGATAATGATGATGACTCAATTGACGGACAATGGACAAGCTCTCAAGTGAAGGAATTAAACGCGAAATATCATATCAAATTCTCCCCATTCATGCGCTGGGACCCCAAGGAGGAGGAGGAGGAGGAATCAGCTGATCTCGGCAGTTTCTTCTTGGCCTCACGGCGTGGAGTACGAGTATGACAAATGTATCGCATATCGCTCGGTCTTCGCTGAACGGTCATTGTGTGCCATATATAGTACACAGAAAGAAACATTTAATGCTGATTATTAAATTATTAAGTATATATAATTCAGAAAATAAGAAAAATTAGTATTTTTGCTAATAATTAAAGGTTATATAACACTTTTTTGCTGTCTGTGTGACCCTTTTTCCGTAAACGTAAACAGCACTTGTAACAAATCAAGTAAATTAATGTATTTTTTATTGTAATAATAGAAATATTTAAACATATACATTTTCCCCTTGTACCAGAAATATCCATTTATTTTCTACAATTTTTTTGCCGTGCACACATTTCTGATTTACATTCGACTATATCATTTGCGTAAGTTGAAGAATGTTGGTGGGAACCATTTGTGTTGGAATTTGTTGTTTTTTTTTTTTTATGTTAAATATAATTTTGTCGTTTTGCTCCGGAAGTATCAATGAGTTATTGGAGCCACCAGGGTTGAGTTTCCTCCAGGAATTTTCTTTGGAATCGACCACAGTCTGTACGGTTACATGATTATATGAAAGGGGCTCTGCACTTTCGCATTGCATTCCAATAGAGACCAAGACCCAACCCAGCCCATTCCATTTCTGTACTCAATCCCCATGACTAGGCTTAGATTTTGTGACATTTTCATTTGCCATCACTGACAGACAGACAGACCTGCGAACCGGCGAGAAAAAAAATTCTCATTAACTAAATAAAATTATGATTGATGGATTAAACGGTTGAAGTGCATTAATTGCATACTCACGCAAAACAAGTTTCCCTAATACAGTCACGCTTAACTAAATGCTATTGCTATGCCTATTACTATTCTGAATAGGAATAGATATATGACACCTGTATATGTGATTTTGAATTTAGACCTTACATTTGTTCGGATGATAAATAAATGATGATAATAAATGATAATCATAACAAGAGAATCTATTTAAGTTTAGCTGGAGGAGTTTCCGCATCGCCAGCACCTTCAGCACCACCAGCAGCTTCAGCACCACCAGCCGCTTCAGCACCTTCAGCACCACCAGCAGCTTCAGCCCCACCCGCACCTCCAGCATCAGTTGCAGTAGCTGCACCTGTATCACCGCCTCCGACACCCCCACCGCCTGCACATTTCCCCCAAGCGGCGCAGGTCCAGCAGCATTGTGGAAAATCTAATGTTGTTACAACAGCGGTATCGGGACATTCCGCAAAGGTCGCTGGTATCTGGCAGCTGAAATGAAATCAATTATGAAGTATCAATTATCAGAAGCTCAATTCAGTATCTCTCCTGGGACTTACTAGTGGATAAAGGTGTCTCCATCCTCATTCTGGCATGTATATGCTCCGCAACTGTTTTCATCCTGAACATACTCTCCCACAGCCACATCCTTGCCATTGATCAAACAGCCTTTTGCTATAAGAATTCCTGATATGTGAACTAGTCCAGTTTGGGTAAGAAGGATTGCTACACTTACTGCCCTTTTCCATTGTCTTAAAGTGCACCAGGGCACTGGAAAAGGACTGGCTGCCAATCCAGGCAATCGCTATGAAAAGGTACTTCATCTCAGTTGGAGGAGTGAAACCACTTTGTTGGCTCCCACCCTTGAGCGCAGCTTTTATAGCTTCCCATGAGGGTGTTACCCGATCTTATGGCAGGAACACCTGCTGGCAATCTCAACGAATTTAATGGCAATTTAATAAAATATAAGTTTAATATATGAAACTTCTTAAATAATCGTTAAATCTTTTAAAATTAAAGAGATTTGAAGTGGAAAAGTAGATTGTATAAGATATAGATTGCTAGGATGAATTAGGATAATAATGAAGCCCAGTAGAGCTGCCTCGGACGGGATCCCTCACTGCCCAGACCTGGCAAAATCATTTAGCGAAATAAATTTGCATCTCTCAGAGTCATAAGAGGCTGCAGCAGCAAACGTGGGGGCTCAAAAAATATTTATTGGGGTGAGTCAGTTGAAAATGTATACATTTTTAGAAAGGTTTTTATTAGATTAGAGATTAGCAAATTATTTTAATAGATTTTTAACTAAAAATAAAGAACTATACAAGCAAAAAGAGCTACTTAGTTACATGAGTTTTTCTGATGTTTAATTTCTTCACTTCTATTGAAGTACATTCAAAGGATTAAGATTTCTTTTGAGGGAAAACCCAACCCTACACCTCAGTTTCATATATTGAAAGCCATCTGAGATTGATTAATGTCATAAACTGGAAAAACCTCAAGTGTTCCTGTTTAATCCCGCAACCCGTTACTGGGTGTACTTATCCCTTCCTGGAAGTGTAATATTATTTTTTTCAATTGCTAGCTTGAGTCACCCTTTGACGCTGTTGGAGCATGTGAAGGTCGCAGCGGCCGGACATGGCAGCCACACACTCGGCACACACGCATTTCGCAATGGGCGAGTGTCGGTGGCAATTGAAATGCTTTTCAGCCAAAGCAAATCGAACTGCTACGAAATGCTTTTATAATGAGTTAATAAGCGATCGAGCGAGCACCTGTTGCCATCGACGAGTGCAAACTGACAAGTAATTAAGAGATTTTGCCGGCCTGGCCCAGATGCACTCGACTTTGTTCTCAGCTGCCTGCCTGCCTTTGTGCATTTTTCTCTCTCTATCTCTCTACATTTTAATTGCTAATCAAAACGATTTGTAATTCTGCGTTGTCTAAGTAATTTATTAACCATTACACAGAGCTGCGATTCGAGCTACGCTTAGCGAATGCGAATAATACTCATAGGCGGGAAGCCGCTTCGAGATCTGCGCCAGTGCTTGAAGTGGCGCCAAATGTCGTCGCCACATGTTTTCAAAATCAATTTCCGCAAAGTGCAGCGTCAAATGCGAAACATCGGAGGAGGGTAGGGGTTTATTGGATAGTATAATTGATAGATTGCCTGGGCCTAATGTATTCCTAACTTTGATGTGACGTTGATTAACTATAAACTGAAGCTTAACGAGTGGATCTTGAAGGGAAAATTATATTCGCAAGTCAATAGAATTATTTTTCTCACGAAATAACTTAATTTAAGCCAAGGAAAATACCTGCTACTGGAAGAAAACTATATTTATCAGGCTAAAATATTTATTTTAAGTTAAAATTCTCATGCTTCATCACTGCAACTTTTAATAAATGACCCAACAAACTTTACATAGACAGCGGGAATTTGTTTGCTGTCGAAAATATTACAGTTTTCATTTGTAAGATGTTTTTCGCACGCACAAACAAAAAGATAAAAAAAAAAGTACATATATATATAGACATACGAATATATGTATATATAGGCATATAATCAAAATTAAAATAAATCTGGGCGGCATCGCAACAGGGGCCTGGGAACAGGAGGAACGGGGTACCGTCAGACATGGATGCAGAGAGATACACACTCTACGGATACAGATACAGATACAGATACAGATACAAACTCAGACAACCAGTCATGTTGGCAGATACTTTTTAGCCACTTTGACTAAAGCAATAACATTAGGCGCTGTCGGCCTGGCACAACTATTTTTGGCCAGGCCCAAAACGCAACTCAAAAACTACAAATTGAAAGTGTATTTAGGAGAACAACAAAAAAAAGGGGGTCTAAAACCAAAAGTGCAAAGCATATAATTTTGAACTTGGCACGAGGGACAACGGCAGCGAAAGCGAGACAAAGTCCAAATGGATTGGATGGACATAGATGGTTTAGGACGCATCTGCGAGTGCGAGTATCTGCATCTCTGTAGCTTGGTAAGTGCGGCAGCGGTACGGTCAATGCACAGAGACGTAGACGGCCAGACAAATATTTGTTTGCTTTTTGTTGGCTTTGTCATGGGTGGGAGTGGGCCACCGAGCGAGGTGGAGCGGCAGGAGCGGGTGGTGCAGGGGTGGACCCCGTCTGACCACGTCACCCAGCCGGGCCTCATCTTTGCCGGCAGAGGCGTCTTCGTCGTAGTCGTCGTCGTCGTCGTCATCCATATGGCAAACTATTTTTAAATATGTTTTAATTATTTGCTGGCATATTCCTTAAAGCGTTGACTAGTCGGCGTCTCCGTCTCCGTCTGCTGGCTGGCCCCTCCTCCTGGCCAGCGTCCCTCTCCACCAACACCCGCCGATCCCAACAAAAAGAACAACAAAAATCCGGGGGTGTGCAACACATGCAACTACTTTCGAGGTTTTCTCTGTTTGAATTCGGCTTGCTCCAAATTTTGTATGCTGATTTTTCTTCAAACACCCTTTCAAATTGTATTTTAAACTGCAGGCAAAGATAACCAAAAGACTCTTTTGAATTCTTTAGATTATGTTTTCAGTATTGTTAAATATATATATAAAAATATCGGAAAATCTATATCAAACTTCCATTTCCCATTAATTTACAGGCTTATCTACAGTCTATAATCACTGCAATAAATTGGATAACTAACCCATGACAACAAAAGAAACTTAAGTAAGAAACATACAGTATTTTTAAGAACAATTTTCAATTACAAATTATAAAAATAAAAATCAATATTTAACTAAACCATTTCATTATTTTGTAAGTGTCTCAGTAACATAAATCTCCCTAAATCTTATAGAGTATCTCAGACTTCGTTCTTATGTTTTTTTCCTGTTTAGCGACACTTTACAGAGTACATTAAGTGTGAAGTTTTTCGCCAATAGAAATATTATTGTCGCGTCGCGCATAATGTGTCGCAGCTTGCATGTAATTTTCTAGATTTTGCACCCGCCGCGGCTGACATACCCGCACACTAAACAACAAAATGCAAATGCAAAGGCGAGTATAAACAAAATAATAAAAAATAAATAAGATCAACGAACTAGAAGAGCGAAAAAACGAGGCTCAATATAGCCAGGTTGATTATTGGTGAACTGTTGGTGAGCATTGGTGAAGTTTCTGTGATTGTTGGTGAAGTTTATGTTGTAATTTGGTGAAATTTTAGAAGAAGTAAGAGAAAATTTATAAGCATTTATAATGTAGGTACATTCAAGGTGCTCATTGTTGAAAATAGTTAAAGATTGTTGAAGATTGGTGAAGTTTCTTGGAAATTGTGGAAAAAGAAAATTAACTTAAATAGATATAAAAACTGCAGTTACATATAAACTTGGTCCAATTAATGATTCTCCCAAAATTATTCAATATTATAAAAAAAATCTTTTTAAGTTTATTCATGACTTAAAACATTATTTGCTCTTCAGTTTAGTGTTTTTTTTTTTCGGACCGACTCTGACCAAGTGCATTTCATTTAATTTCTATGTGGTTGTTATTTATTTTTTATCATGTTCTCATAGAGAGTACGCCGCACCCATTGATCCGATCCCCACGATCCGTTCGGCAATCGAACTGTAGAGCAAGTCAAACATGGAACAATCGGTCAGCGACAATGAAAATGCCAAGTGCGCGAGTACGAGCAGCTTTTTGCCGCCGCTGTGGCTTTCGTAGGTTATTATTTTTTGTTTTGTTTGGGTTTTTGTGTGTACGAGTATTTTCTATTTATTTAACTGGCGGTGGCAGCAGCAGCAGCAGCAGCAGCAGACTTGAGTCGGCCAACAAACCGCATGCCCGCTCGCTTTACAGGCTTCTTTTTACCACGGAAAAGGGGGCGGGCCACGGAGGCTTTCCAGACGAGACGGGACGCCAATGAAGCGAGAAAAATTACTGTTTGTAAAGTGAGTTTGTCAACATGAGGCGTGTGCATCGCAGAACCAGACAAAGGCCAGATACAGATACACAGCCACAGCTATAGCTACAGCTACAGATACGGATGGAAATACAGAGATACAAACAAGTATCATTAACGCAATGCCCAAACCGTTAGAGGAGGCATTCGAGCTGCAGTTGGTGGCATCTTTACCTGGAAGCCGACTCCAAAAACTCCATAAATCCAAGTATTTTTCTGCAGAACTTTTGGTTCGCTTGGCTTGGAATTACGGTGGAGTGTGAGGAGGAGGCGGCGGCACTGAGCCGGAGGAGAGATCACGCGGGGACCTGGGGCAATGTAATTGAATACCTGGCATACTCACTTTTTCTCCACTTCAACCATGTTTACATTGGCATACCCTCGATGGGATTATAGGCATGTTTGTTGGCACTTGATGGCGGCATTTGTTGGGTATTATATTGAATTAGCCAAGTTCTTAATATAACTACTAGCTTTTATAAGCCATAAACTAGGTTTGTAACTATGTCAGTCAAAAGTTTTATTGGGAGAATCATCTGTTCTATAAGTTTCCCTACAGTATTTCCTATTCGATATTTAAACTCCTTTAGTTCCCGGCTCTTTTTGGGTTCTGTTTTGTCTAGGCTCACATTTATGGCCTGTTGTCCTGGCTAAAAATGGCACTGGAACCCATCATAGACGGCGGCCAAGAAGGCCCAAGCCAAGGCTACTGGACAAGGTCCGCCAGCATTGTCAGCAATTACTCATTTATGGCCTGTCCGGCATTTCTCGCTCTCGGCTTCTGTGCTAGCCCGGTGTATCTGTGTGTTATTCAAGCCTTCTACAGCTGACACAGAGAGCGAAAATTGGAGCAACTCTTAAGTGATATTAACTTTTCCAATTAAATTCAATCTGAAATCTTAAAACCTTTTCTCTCTGTGCAGCTATTGATTTATGCTTTCAACTTGGATGGGGCTTCGCGTGGAGTGCACTTTTTCATAAAATGTCCAAGGATCCTGGCCGGTTATTGCCTTTGGCCTGCTGCTTCTATTTATAAAGATTACGTGTAATTAAAATCAGGATGGCTCTGCAGAGCATACCTAGTACTCTCTGCCGCTCGTCTCGTTACGCTTGTCACCTGACCGTTACCTGCAGGAGCGGGACAGAGCAAAGCGATGAGCTTCCCAGAAGTTACAGAAGTTGGAGCAGTTTGGCAGATATCTCGTTTCTCGATCTCGTTTACTGGGTGGCACAGCAGGTTGAGTTCGAGATATTCGCTCAGTGACATCATATAATTGGAGCGTTTTCTTCGAGGAATATTGATTGGATTATAATGGGCAAAAAAAATGGGCTTCTAACTGCACCTGGCAGGGGGAATATGATTACCTGTTCTTAAGAGAACCACCCAGTAACTTGAAGCAACAAAAAAAGCTTAAAATATTCTAAGAAATTTATTAGTAATGCGTTATATTTAAAGGATCCCCTCCTAAATCAACCAAGTAAACAATAATCATGCCTGCGGAACTGTTCGCTTCGCTCCACTGAAACCCAGAACTGTTCTCCCGATCCGGGCTAATCAGGGCCATTAAATGGCTCATTATCGCCATCGACCGATAGAGAGACGGTTGCCCGGGTACGGAGGGAGCCACATGACCTTTGACACACGCCCAGAATCTTGCTCCCATAGCTCACAGCAACAGTTCGGCTAGCGATAACAGTAAATTGAATTTTAAAAACGCGTAATCATCACATTTCGAAAGTCTATTTAAATGGGGCATTAAAATATAAATGTTCGTGCCCGATTCTATTGGAGGATTATCAGTCCCTGGCTCCGGCATGACCCCCCTAAATACGGCCAATGCAGGCGCTGGCTGGTGTTATTATTATTTTTATATATATTTTTTTTCGTATAAAATTGGAATCTTTATGTGCCATTTGACACAGTTGGACAGGCACTGGCACTGGGCTCTTACTTATGCAATCAACGCTATCAGCCATCAGTCTCCAACACAGTGTTGCCCCCTAATCTCGCCAAGCCGCTCAGCCTGCTCCTCTGTCCAAATTAGGGGCATGTTTTAAGCGCATGAATCCCGGCTAGAAATGAGTTGAAGTATATTCTTGAACCGCACTGAACTTTGGGCTAGAAAATGCAATTAATACTCTTGACTAGAAAAAATACTTTAATTATATTTTGAGCACATACATATACATATATAATGAATGATGGGTGATTATTTCAAGTAATTTATGTCGAAATAGTAGAAAAGGGTATGATTTTTGGTGATTTATGGGATTCTTAAGAGACATAATTAGAAATTATTATTATATTTATAAGGAATACCCATTCCTAGCTTGTTTAGAGGTTTCTTTTTATTTTAAATAAATTTAACTTTCTATTAAATATTTAAAGCTTTTTCTTTATATTTGATCAATTCTGTCGAATGTGCAAAAAAAAGTCTATGATTTTTGGTGCTATTAAAAACTTAATTAGAAATAATTTTATATTTACTAAGAATACCCGCCCTGATTATTTTGAAGTTTTTTTTAATTTAAAATATATTAAACTTTCTATATAAAATATTTTTCTTCTTGGTAAGCCATTAAAGCTTTAGTTTTTATATATTTATTGTTATTAAAAATTCCAGGAACTCTAATCTTTATTTTAGCTTTAATTTCTGTAAAATCTTTGGTTTTTTTATTAATTCTTTGAAACAATAAACTTAATTTCCTTTGTTTTGCTTTAAGTTGTTGCTTCTGTTTTGCATTTTAACTTTTATTTTTAACACTCTGGCATTTAGCTGAGGAAACAATGTGAACCGAGAAACGACAGCATTGCAAAAAATCTTCCTTTTTTTCTCCTCTTAAATGGCGCTCCCAAAAACTATTTTTGCCCTTCGTCCGTCTGTCTAGCTGTCCGTCCGGATTCGTTTGTGTCCACCTCTGTCTAGCCGTCAGTTTGCGGTGCGCCTTTAGTTTTAGCATTTACTTCTAGCATAGCTGGCATTTTTGTAGCAATTCGTGTCTATATGGTTTGTTTGCGACGCGTCGTTCTCCTTTATTTTATTTTTTATTTTTTTTTGTTTTGTGTTTTTTATTTCTTTTTGCGCATTCTATATTCTATTCGATGGTGCTCTCTTTGTTATAAGTCCGGGGTCCGTAAATGCCGCGTGCTCATCACTCGCAGACACTTTAGAATGCAGCCAGTATCTGTGAGATGTGCGCGCACACAGATACCAGCAGATAGACGAATGGCATCGGAACGTATCTTACGGATTGCAGGGCTGATTGGTGAAGGGAATGTGGGGGGAGGCTTCATAGTTTCCACCTACTAACATACTTTGGCTTGGAAATAGTCTAGTCTTCATTAAATAATGACACTATTGATCTGGTTTCTTTTCATTTTAAAGTTTTTAAAGTCTTTTAAACATATTTTGTTTACTTTCTTTAGGGACATTTTGTTTGTAAATTGTTTAAAAAAGTTGTAGTATCCCTAAGCTGTATTTTCATTTACTTTTAGTGGCTGTATTTTAGTTTCTAAGTAAAAATATCCGGGTTATTCCATACTACCTATAGAGACGATGATTCCATATTCATAAATATTATATATAAACTTTACTTAGTCAGCTGTGAACTACAACTCAATATCGAGTCCAACAGTTTCCCGAATTATTATCTTATTTAAAATGAAAGGATTGCTGTTCTTGTACCTGCTGTTCCTTAGCCTGCTGTTCCACTGCACCCACAGTCACGTCCTGGTCAAGGCAAGTCGCATAACCGTTCCTTAAGATCTTCAACTTATATTCATCAACAGAGGCACACACACCAGCACAGGCCTAAAGCTAATCCACGGGATCTGTTGAACGATTTTGTGGCCATCAGCGAGGCCGGAGGCTTGGAACCAGCTCCTTTGAAGAACTTTGTCGAGCAGCATGTTTATGATGCTGGAGATGTCTCTAGTGCTTGCGGGGGGAGTAAAACATCCTCCGGTGGATGCGATTCCATAGTATGCAATGTAAAGGAGGTCATGACACCCAACAATTCCAAGTCCAAGTCCTGCGCTATAGCCATACAGGCTGCCCAGGATGCCAAGGCGGCAAGTGAGGCACAATTTGCCGCTGGATATGCTGCTTCCCAGCACATCAAAACGGAGCTGGCCGAGAAGGCCTTCCAGTCTGCCAAAGCCGCCGAGGCAGCTCTATGTGGAAAGCAGCATATGGTTCACCAGCTGGAGAAGGCAACCCAGGAAGCGAGCGCTGTCATCGAGGGGGAGACCGCCGCCCTGCAGACCATCGAAGCGAATATGAATGCAGCTGTGGAGGCGACAAAAGCGGCCACCCAGCAGTTCGAGGCTCTCAGCGAGCTGGTGACAAACTCCAAGAATAACCTGGCCAATATCCAGTCAGTGGCCCTCGGCTTGCAGCAGGAGATGGAAGCGAAGACACAGCTCCTGGAGGCCGCACGGAGCCGATTGGCCGCCTGCCAGAAGCAACTGTGCTGTGCCCGGGAGGACTACGAGAAGACCAAGCAGGCGGCCTACAAGGCAGCCTGTGCCGCCGTGGAGGCCAAGCAAAAAGCCGCCTCATCCCAGTGCTCTCGTTCCGGCGCTAAAAGGTCACAAAGAAGAAACCGTAATTGTCCTAATTCATCCTAGCAATATATATCTTATACAATTTACTATTTCAATTCAAATCTCTTTGTTTTAAAAAGATTTAACGATTATTTAACAAGTTTCTGTAAATAAAATAATTTATATTTTCTTAAATTGTAAGCTTAAAGGCGTTGTAAAGCTAAGTTGTTTGCCGGGTAACGTAAGCATTCAATTCGGCGATATCACCGACAGGTGTTCCTCCTATAAGATCGGGTAGCACGCTCATGGGAAGCTATAAAAGCTCCTTTCAAGAATGGGAGCCATCAAAATGATTTCACTTCCCCAAGTGTAAAGGTAGTACCTTTTAATAGCGATCGCCTGGCTTAGCAGCCTGTCCTTTCCCAGTGGCTACTTCATTGGTTACTTCTCTTGATGGTGCCACTCCTGGTCCAGAGGGTGGCTGTAGTACTGCTCCTCGCCCTCCATTGGGCACGTCTCCTCCCTTTCCCAGCGCCAAATATGCGCCTATTAGAGCCCAACAGTCCACCTTTAAATATTTATAATTGTTATATTATTATCAATATTTTTAAGTACGAATCGGATTCGATCTTCAATATATAACATGATATTTTGCATTTCCTTTATCTTTGCACAAAACTGACCCACATACACACACGTCAGATCGGGAGTGATATCCTCCCTGCCTATATTTCTGGTTTTCACTCGATTCCGAGCGAGTTCTGTTTGCCCTCTCTCCATGGCTTTTTTTTTTAATTAGCCGCCGCCGGCGAACAAATCTGACCGAAAAACAGGAAAAGGGTTTCAGTTGCTGCTTCTGCTGCTGCTGCTGCTGCTGGGTCCTTCAACCCGGCCTGAAAAAGATTGAAAAATTATAAAAACGAAGATCTTGCGGAATACAAGAAAAATTGAAAACCAGATCTGACAAGAGTATGGGAATGGGAATGAGCAAGGGATTGGGATCGGGATCGGGATCGGGATCGAGGACTGGGGCAGGTAGGCTCGCCTCGGCTCGATGTCTTCCCCAAAACACTCCCCTCGAGTGAAAGAGATTCGGCATGATTTAAACGGGAAAGACAAGAATAACCAAAAAATAAAAAAAATGAACTACTGAAATCCAAAAAAGAGCTTTTACTTACCAGACAATTTGTGTTTATTAGTGAGCGGATGAAGTTGACACCGAAAGACCCTTACAAGTAGAACAAGCCCTTATTAGTACACACAAAAAAACGCCTAGACCAACGAATTGTATCTTGATATTGAGGATTTAAACTATTTTTTACATTTAAAATGCTCACTAATATAAACGTTTTAGTTTATCACAGATTAATGTACATTTTATTTTATATTTTACATTTACATTTAATACACATTTTGTATAAATTATAAATTAAAAATTAGTTTATTAATATAATAAAATAACCCTTTCTTTTTAGAACTCATGAAACCCAAATTTGCTAACAACTAAGGAAGTCGCCCTTTCCGGCGTAGGGTGCAGACTGCGCTGCCGACTGCGCTGCTCTTTTGCCGCACTCTTATTAATTGAGTGAACATGTCCATTTTTGGACAGCCCGCCAGACGAGCAGGGAAATTACAATACCGAAAAAAAAATAAGAATAAATATCGAAAAAGCAAGCCCAAAACAGAGCGCAATCAAAAGTAGCCAGATTTTGTCATTAAAAAAAATAACAATAACAAATCAGCAAACACACACAGCCTTACGTCGATTCCAGGAGCAAGACGTAACGTAAGGAGACGTAATGAAACCATGCGGTCGCAACATGTTCCATGTTCGCTACGAGCGAGATGGCACTAGGATTAGGCGCAACAGGCCGGCAGTGAAAGCGAACTGCGAGCGAGAGCGGGATGGCGCCAACCGCTGTGGCTGGCTAATAGAAATGCGACAACAAATAGCACCGGGCAGTTGACTACAGGAGAGAGCGAGAGAGGGAGACGGCGAACAGCTGTGCAAGAGCATACACGTTCGAAGCAGCGCTGCTGACGTCGCCGTCGCTCTGCGCTCGGGAAGCTACTCCCAGCGTTAGTTTTACAGTCTTTACATTTTAGAGTTTACAGTTGATCGTGCCTCGTGCGCCGAAAGTTAAAGAAAGTATCGTACCAATGATATTTTTTTATCAAAAAATATCATGAACATTTTTAAAATATCACCAGTAGACTCAGCAATTCCAGAAAAGTGGGAAAAATTTAGAGGAAAAATAGAAAAACAGCAACCGAACAGTAACTGTAAAACAAGGCAAACCCTTGAGGAAATCAAAAGTCAAGAGGAGCGAACGACAAGTGCAACGAAACTCGGTCAAGTGTTAAGAGAAATTCCAAATAAAAACCTAATGAATTCTAATTCGTGATCGGCGTGTGTCGGTGTGCCAGTGTGTGGCTGTGTGCGAGAGCTAAACTCACCGATACTTTTAACACCTACCGATTTCCAGTTCGACGCGTGTTTCACACATTTCCAGCATCGTAGGAGCGTTCACCCAAAAAAAAAAAAATGAATAAAAAATAAAACAAAACCAAAATAAGTAAACGCGCGAATTATATCTTTTACACGTGTCTGCGGCATCGCTGATTCATGGATTCTTTTTTGGCTGCCAAAAAATTAAAGACAATTAAGCAAATTTTCCACAATCGATTAACATTGAAATTAGGCAACGCCAAAAGCAAAACGTGTTAATGAAAATCAGCGGCCAAAAAAAGAACGCCGGGAATTTCTGTAATCGTTGACGGAAGCTAAACTTCATGTCATGATTTTATAATCGACAGTGGCAACCGGAAAACGAATGCAATCTCAGGTAAAACACAGGTGTTGGTAAAGCTAGCCCAGGAAACACCTAAAAATGTAAAAAAAAAATGATTAAGAAAACGGAAGTACCAAAATTAGGACTATTGAAGAATTTATGTTAAGTCGGATAACAATTTAATAGAATAAAATGTAAAACAGTTTAAATAAAGAAGAAGTATTATTCCCATTGTTAAGAATACACCAGATTTTACTTGCTCCAGTTCTATCGCCTATGCTTTTGTTTTTTTTACACGTACCCAATGTGTAAGAGAAAAATCTAAAGCCATTCATATTTTCACCAAAAAGTCTCAAGCCCCCTTTTTTGTACGTACGAAGCTCAATTTCAATTTGATTAATCAATAAACGCCACTAAAAGTACAACGAAAAGTACGAAAGAGGCGGGAAACTAAAGCAGCGGGGCCGAAAAGCGCCCGAGGAAAAGGAGGAGGAGGAAGAGGAAAGAGAGAGATGATGATGATGAAGAAGAGGCTAATTGATAGTAGCAATAGTAGCGGCTGCGCTGCGGCAGAGAGCGGGCAGCGCAGCGACGCCCCAAGAAGGAAGCCGAGAAACCGTTACAATATGCGACAAAGGAATGTGTCACAGTGAAAAAATCAAATCACAAACGTAAACGTAACGGCGCAAGCATCGGCCTGCTCCGTCAGGCAGCGACTTGAGTCAAACATGTTCGAGGCAGCGCTGCGGACGTCGACAGAGCGACGATCGCAGCTTTCAATTTTAAACAATTTTAAATCTTTTTTCAGTTCTCTTTTGGTGCTCGATCGTGACGGTATTTACTAAATATTATTAATTTAGCTTTTAAGGAGTGACTGCCGAAAACTCTGCCTATTCCAACCACACACACAGTCTCCCCAACCGCGTTGCAAAGTGCTCAATCTGTACCGGATCTCGCTCTCTCCGTCGCTGCCTCTGCGTGCCGGCCGCGAGTGTGTGTGTGTGCGGGCGTTATTGTGCATGTTTCCGGTGGTCGAAAAAAACCAGAAACAGAAATCAAGAATAATAAAACACGATAAAGAGTGTCAAAGCAACTGGAACTTTGAACGCTTGTGTGTGAGTTAGGTGCATCTCGCGTAACAACAATAATTGCATTTATCGGCTGGCGCCAGCTTCAATTTAATTATAAATAACATCAACAAAATAGCACGCACACACAAACGCTTGAAAAGTCAAAGTAGGCGGTTATGGCCGCCCCTCGCTCGCTCTCCCTGGGGCATCACGCGCGCCGGTACAAAGTTAAAGTTCGCTGGGGAACACACACAAACACGAGGGCGCATACATTGCACTAAACTAATGGAGCCCGGCTTTGTTTTTGTGCCCAGAAACAGAAAACAGAGAGAGGAAAAAAATCAATACTCGTTATGGGATTAAATTTACCAAGCTAATAAATAACAAAAGACAAAAACTATAACAAGAGCGTAAAAAGCATTAAAATAAACTCGAATAAACAGAGTCTTTCTTATCGCCAGAAGGGGCCAATGTTCCTTAGGAACTTTGAGCTTTCATTAAGAAGAGATTATAAAAGATTATAAATTATGTAAAGTAATAAAAAATGACTGCGATTCCTGTTCAACTTTCTGCTACATTGCAAGGACATCTGTTCACATCTTACCGGGCAGCATTAGATCTTTTTGAGATACCTCTAATACTGTCAGGTAAAGATGTCGTCCGTGTCCTTAACCATCTGTAAAAAAACAACAACTAAAAACCAACAAATGCCTCAAATAATACCGAGAAAAACGAGTTTTACAATTGTGCGTAAGCGTAAAGGCGATCGGAAGGAAGGAGGAGTGAAAACCGCGGGATCGGGATGCGGACAAGCGGCTGAAAATTGGTCATAAATTCTTATTTTTTGCAGCAGCCGAGCGACGCGTTTTGGGATGACATCAGTTAAAAAATGTATAAAAAAGAAAGAGAAAAAACCGGAGGAGAGAGATCGTTCCCAATTCCCATTTTCAATTCCCGGACCCCTGCGGCGAGTCTGCAGGTAAACACTATACAGTGTACATCTGAAAGAGGGAACAGTTTGAGACAAATTGTTAAAAGGATTTATTTATATTTAAAAAATATTAATCAAAAAGGTATAACAATATTTTATAACAAAATTATAAATATAACTTTTTAATGGATATATTAGGAGTTTAAAAACAACTACGGCTTAGAATATTACCACAAAAAACTCATTTATACATTATCAATTAATATATATTGCTTAACTAGTTCTCAATTTCTTGTAAAGTTTTTCCCAATGACTTTTTATGAACTCACTAATATATACTATTATTTTAATATTGGTTAGTACATTGCATATCCACTATATCGTGTATGTATTGTAAAAAAAAGAGGGGGAAAGATTGCTAGCGAAGAACCTATAAAAAATATATTTTATGGTTCCGCTCGCTTCTTGCTGTTCTTCTGAGCATTTAGCAGAGGCTAGTTCGCTGGTTTCTTAATTTCATCGCGGCATCATTTAGTGACAAAAATTGTCTTCTTTTATGATGATACCCTCTCGCTGGAACCCTCCCCCCTCCAACCACCTTTATCCGTTCAAATTTACGATTATAGTCAAACTACTAGCCAAGGCAAAGCAGCAGCAGGTTGAGTTTCGTTTCGTTTCATTTGGTTTCTTTTTTTTCACTTCGCTGCGGCATCTAAATGCTCATAATTTGAAATTAGAGAAATGTGAAATAAGAAACCGCAGCCATAATCAAATAATTAAATGCTTATAAATTGCCGAAACGTGATCGGGGAAAACGCAGCTTGAAATATTATGATTTAATCGAGGACATGTGCTTATGGTTAAGCGTAATTGGGCGGAACTTTCAGATACATACAGACATGTGTTCAAGAAATTGATCGTACCTGTTTGAGATAGACTAAGATTTTACAAAGACTATAGTTAATTATAAAATCAATTATTTTAGAATTTCAGTTAATGGGTTTTTTGTTTAGAATAATAATGTCTTAACGTACATAATTTTCTCTCTTAAAAATCGATCTTTAAGGCTAAATACGTACTAATAACTTTAACAATATCAGTTGCACTGGCGTCGATTTAAAACTTTGCACCCGATCAAGGAAGTGTCCTTATCTCACATCTTACTTACTTCTGGCTTTCATAATTTCCACTCAAGTCATCCACTCGAACTCTTACAACATTCAAAGTTATTGATAAGCATGGCCCAGACTTAGATAACGCTTGGAAGCTGATCCCAGCCAGAGATTGTATTTAAGGGCTCTCTATATCTCCTTTTTTCCACACAACACATCAATGTGCTGTTGAGTCTGTAATAACAGATAAAACAAATATAAATTCCAGCGCTTGCCACCTGGCAAACAAGCGACTTAATTGTCAAGAGTGTCCAGAGTTACAGTCACACTGTATATACTACGTATAGAATAATATATATGATATGACAAGAGAGACTGGGTTTATTTAGAGTTCCAACGACAACAGAGAGATATATGAGCAGGCAAATACAATGGCACGTATGTACGAGGAGAGCGCTGAAGGAATATAGGGATCGTAAAACAGTTTACAGGGCTTTTAAATTTTACAGTTTCTCGGCATAGTGGGTATTGTTTCTTGGGGTTTCTAGCTCGGACGGGGGTTAATCTAATCAGGAAAACGAAAAATGCGTTAGTCTCGGTCTGGTCTGGTCGAAGCCAACACGATCCCCGAGAGGCGGAACGACCAACGTAACCAGAACGAATATAACACCTGTTAATGAACTTAGCAGCGGCTCTAATGAAATGTGCACACCTTGCCTCTCCTACTCCTCTACTCCTTCCTCGCCCCCCTTCAAACGCCTGCTGTTGTCAGGTCGTAAACTTAACCCATTCGGTCTCATTTTCAATAAAAGGCTGCATAAATCAATTAAAGCCACGGGGTCCCTGGCCCTTCTCCCTTGGCTTGGGCTTCTGACCCTCCGCCCGCCTTGAATAATGCATAACTGGCTAATCCAATGCCTTGCCATTACACCACCAGTAATATATTCTCGATTAGAGTTCGTGGTAATCCAAAAGGGGCGGCCACGTAATGAATCATTTCTTATAATTAAGTCCATCAAAGAGCTTTGACTGTTTGAGAGCCACGACTGAGTCAAGTCAAGTGCTTAGGCGAGTGCTTGTTATATATTTTAGTATTCCCAATAAATCTATTTCCCCTTTAGTTATTTCTAGAATTCTGCTATTTCATAATTCCCTCGAAAAATGCGAAGCAGTCTAACGGTCAAATAAATGCCTCCAAACTGCCAAGTCAGCAATCGTGTGACAATTTCACAAGCAACAACTAATTGCGGGCGTGTGGTGGTGTTGGCCAATCTACAATTTAAATCGGGCAATAGAGGGTCCAGTTCTCAGATAGGAAAACACTTCAGAGGCCGACCCAGCGGCGCTGAAAGAGAGAAGTGCTTGGCGGTTATGTATCGATGGGGCGAGTGTTAATCGGAATAGCGTCGAGAACACTTGATATCCACATGGCGCTCCGCAAGATAATGTCCACCACATGGAGTCAAATCTACCCCAACACCACCGCAACTCCTAGCATAGAAAAAAAAAACCAGCCGACTACGTTAAATACTTGCTATTCCAATATCTGTTTTAACTTTTACTTCTGTAAAACCTGTTTAAACTTTTTCCTATATCTTCTAGCAATCCATCTAAGAAGCATCCCAGAAACCAAAAAATCTCCTATACTCATACCCTTTAAACAAACTTAAGATCAAATGTATAATACCCTCTGGAAAGGGTATATAAAAAACCAATAAAGATCGATTCAAAGTCACACAAAAGCAAAACCATTTCAGGCAGCCAAGTTCGATCATCGATTCTGTCAGTGGCCAGGGGCGAAAATGTTGAAATTAATTTCATATGGCTGCATATCTCACCTCCGACATCTGATTTGTTGTGTGAGCGTGTGTGAGTATGGGAAAAGATAGTTCCAGGCTTGGCATACTGAGATTTCATTAGTAATTATTTGTAACTGATTGAAAAAACCAATCAGCGTTGACCAATAACTTTCCTTAGAAGGTTCCCTAAAAAGTTAATCAGTATTATGAATTCCAGGAACAGACTTTAGAAAATTGGAAGAAGAAAAGACCTCCCCCACTCATAAAGTACTTCATATATAAATGGAATATATGGAGAGCTACTACTATATCTAATCGCGATTCTCAAATGCGTTGAGAGAGTATCTAATCGTGCCTGGCTATGGAGATACTATACGTGGACAGTCTCAACCCGCACCATAGAAATGTTTTTCCCCAAGGGATTAGGTTTTACTCGTAAGAAAAGAAAACTGATTTGGATTGTATATCAATATATAAAATATAAATAGCTGGAAACTAACCAAAAATGAGTGTAGTTTCTGTAAATTGTTGTATATATTTGATTACCTTTAAACCTTACATAATAAAGTACCAATAAATAAATACTTTTAAGCATATTTATCTGTCTTTTCCTATTTATTTCTGTCCCCGATCATATCTCAGCCCAGCAACAAACAATGGGGGAATGGAGGGGGGAGGGAAAGATTGTGACTGGCCTGGTGGGGCACTGGCCCTGGAAATGAGCTCAAATCAAAATATTGAGCATGATTTATAAATTACGGACTGTAATATAATACGCCTTGACATGATAATAAAAAAAAGGGGAGAAACCGAAGAAAGGCACCACGGAGGAGAGGCGATGAACTGCACCGATACACCCCAGCGCAGCACCGAGAGTGTGGGGTTAAAGAGGGGGCAATGAATGGGCGTAAATCAATTAAAGGCTAACAAAGCAATCAAGCTAGATTAATAATGTAGAAGACGATGGCAGGCTCGGGGCCCATGAATGACTTATGCGAAGTCATGGCAGTGTCAATCGGTGAATTGATTGTGTCACAGTTAAGGAGAAATTACCAAAAATGCAGCCAACATCATCATCATTTCTCACTTTTCAACGGGTTCCGTAGCAGCAGCTAGTATGTCGCCTAATGAACTTGCCCCAAGAAGATCCCGGTAACTGGAGTGAACTGAAACTCGAAAAGCATATCTTTGTTTCGCCTTTTTTTACTCTGTTTTGTGCATTAATTAGTTAGACACTAATTTCCAATTCCGATTTCAGTCATGCAAATGTTAATTGACCACTTAACTTAAAACTTCATAATGATCGTTAATAATCGCGCGAAAGGAGGGAGCGCAGAGCTACGACAACTGTAACCAAAAGAACAGGTTCAAAAGACCTTCACTAGCCGCAGTCCGAAAAGCTCGTAAAAGATATGCTGCAGCCACATGGTGGAGTTACCTTTGAGAGGCTTATGTGGAACCGAACGAGCCTGGGGCCCGTAACTGTGCCTTAACGATCTTCTCAGCTAGCTCATTTACTATATACCTAAGAGACCTCGTGGCTTAATCTTTGGAGTTTTGATATTTTGTAACCGACATGTAAAATAGTATACATATATGTAAAAGGTGTTTTAAGAACTTTAAATATATCATATTTAAGAAAAAATACAATATGTTTGTTAAATAGAAATGGTTTCATAAAACTCTAATAATATATTTAAACAATATAGCTGGCAAAGCATAATTAGAGAGAGAGAGAGGAGTTCCAATTGAATGCAGTTTTATAGCTTTGATTTCCCTTTTTCTTTTAGTTAGGGAATTCAATTAGGCATGGCCTGCCCGAAATCCCCATCACACAGTTATCTTAATTGATCTGGAACTGGAAGTGCAAGCTCATGGCGCATAATCAAGGGCAATGAAAGCTATTTCCTGCTGGCCCAACTTGATTGCATTGATTGCACGGAGGCAGGAGGAGGAGATGTGTCCATGTGACTCGTGCCGGCATAACAATGCCGCCAGTAGAGAGTCTCCTAGTCACCCAGCTAACAGCTCCCAGTCGCCGTTTTCCAGTTACCAGTTACCAATTCCAGTTCTTAGTTCCCAGTTGGTAAAGCTAGCGAAACTAACTGAGCGCCTCTTGGCCACAGGTAATTGAACGCTGGCCCCACTCCAAGCCACTTCACCTGAGCTACTGTGCACGCCTGCTCTTTAGCAGACAACACAGAAAGAAATGATTGAATAGTTCTAAATATCATTTCAATGAATCAGAATTGTTGTATTTTTCCACAAAGCAACATAGATGCACTCCAATGTTCGTATTTCAATTAATTTTGGACATCGAATTCTTCATTCTTCTTCATCTTTTTCAGATGCCACGGTGGTTGTAACGATGACAAAGTCATCTGTGCACTCTACTAACTCAACACAAGTCCAACAGCACCTGGGAAAAGGATCTTCTACAGATATGTGTGTGTCCTCACTGCACTGTGCGAAGGGCAGTGGTATCTGACAACTAATAAGGAAACCACAAGGATTGAATCATTGTTAAATACTTAGAAATAAAAAACGCTTTAAAATTACTCACTACATATTAAAGCCCTCGCCATCTTTGTTTTCACAACGTATAACGCCGCACGTCTTTTCGTCCTGAATGAATTGGCCGACTTCGAGTTCCACATTGTCTTTCGTTTTGCAGCCATTGGCTAACAAGAGTTTAAGGTCTCAATTAAGAATCGTTCATCTAAAGGTTATTTTACTTTAAAGTACCTCCTTTTTCCATCTTTAAGAAGCTCACTAGGGTCCTTGAATAGACCACGCATAATGCAATTATCAGTATGGTCGACAAGTAATGCATTTCAAGTGGGAAATATAACTGCGTATCTCAGGACCTGGAGGCCCCTTATAAGCCCTTGATAGCGATTGTCACCCGATCTGGCCCCATTAACATCTGTCAACTTTATAAAGAATTTTAAGAATTTTTATTCATAATCCTATGTACGTTTAACTAGGGTGTTTGAGCAGCAATTCCTATAAATTTAACTATAAACAAGAAAGGAAGCAAGCCACATTTAGCTATACCTAGTATTTTTAGTTTTAAAATAATAAAATATCTTTTATTTGAAGCTTTTTCACAAAGACCTGGGAAAAAACGCAACTTTACTAACCATTTACATGGAGGCCTGTCAGTTACTTTGAACAACAATTTGCATTTGTTAACCAATAAATGTGTACATTTACATATTTATGGATTGGGGTCACTTTAGCGCCACCTGAAGATAATCGACTTCGTCCGCTCAGTGGGGTAATTAAAAAAAAATGCAGAAAAATAGGTAATTTTTATCAGCCCGGTTATTGTAGTCGCTTAAACATAATTTGTATTTCCTTGATAAAATAAAACCATAACTTTTGGAAGGAAGTTAATCCATTTTAAATTCAAAGTTAATAACAAGTAATAGTAAACTATACTTTTGCAACACTTGAAGAGGAAATATAGCCCCTGGAAAGCTTGCATCTGCTTAAACAAATAATATATGACAAATTTGTATCTTTACCTTATAAAATGCTGAAAAAACTTGATATACTTTTCCCCCATTTTGCCAGTAAGCTCAGTGAGCAAGTAGCGCGCTAAGAAAATAAGCTGGCTGTGGAGGCTGGTCCAAAGGCTTTATGAATATGCATGGACAACTGCTTTATAAGTGAACTCTACGCCCCTCAACCACTATAGTATATAGTATATAGCATGGCTGCTGGCTTAGACGCCGCCTAACAGCCATCAACTGTGGCTATGTATGTATGTATATTCGTTTAAGACGTAAAAAATTATATAAATTTGCATAGAAATTGCAATGAACCTTAACTCGAATGTGGAAGAACATCTAAGCAACAGGTTAATGGTAACACTGGTCAACCAGGGTGGATATATAAACTATGTATATTATGATTTAGTATAATGTTTACTTGTATTCTTTAAAGTTTTTCATATATTTGAAGAAAAAATTGAATTGTTATTATATGTTATTTTAGTAAAGAAAAATGTACTCTTTCTACTTTCTGCTGCCTAGTGTAAGCCATTAAAACCTAGTCACTGTTTTTTTTTGTTTGTTGCTGCATTTTTTGCAATTATTAGCATGCCAGTTGTTGTTGCTGTCAGCAGCAGACTTTTGAACCCGCTGCTCACAAGTGTAAATTAAATGGGAAATAAAAACAGAGAGAGAAAAGGAGAGAAATTAAGCAAAAAATTTGTTCACTTAGCCAGCTACTGTATGTATATCCTAACAACCAAATTCTTCTTTATATATATATATATATATATATATATATATGTACTATGGGTATTTTTCGCCTGTTATTTATAGCGCAAAATTCTGTAGCAAGTTTGCCGCCGCGCTTAGGCCGAGGAGTCTTCAGTATTCAGTCTTTGGTCCGCACCAAGTCCAGATCCAAGTCAGAGAGTCACAGCAAGCAGCAACAGCAACAGAGTTATTAATGCTTGGAATTTTCATAATCGAAACGAGTTTTCAAGCGGCCGGCCGGCCAGGCAGAGTCGGCAGTCAAGCAAGGAAGCACGCGCGTCTTGGCCAGACTCGCTCTCCTCCGGCTTTAATAACCAACGCCTCGCCCTCCCCTCGCAAATCGGGGCAGGTTGTAGAGTTATGGCCATGGCAAGACAAGCACACGCCTTGCGCGAACAGGTGAAGCGTTTAACTGGTGGAACTCTGAGCCTGCTCTGGCTACAAGCCCGGGCTCCTACTCCTCCTCTCCAGCGACATGGCATGGCATGGTTTGGCATGGTGAAAAAAAAATAACACACAAATTGCCCAGCGAAGTTGGCATTTGCTCAAATCAAAATTATGAAAATATTTGCCATTTTTTGAAGACACAAAAATGTTATTTTACAAAATTGCTTGGGGTTTAAAAAATGTATATATGTATATGTATATTTTTAACAGAAAAATAATAAGGCTGATCAAGAATATATATGATTTATAGGGTCGGAAATGAGTCCTTAACTGATTTTTGGGCTTCGGACTGAAATTATTATACTCCTTAAGGTGTATTAATTTTAAATATTTATTCATAATTTTATATGATCATTTTTGGGCTTAAAAATTCAATAACTAAGCCAAAAATGCATTAAATTCAATTTGGAAAGCTGTTCTGAGTTAGTTTTTTTATGGTTAATAAATCTGCATATAAAGATTACAAATTTAACCAATTTAAAATTTTTCGATTTTTCTTTACCTCCTTAAACAATAAAATTAAACATAAAATTTAAAAAAAAAATTAAAATTTTTAATTTTCTTGCAAACATATCTAGATCGATTCTGTTTTTAATGCTGATCAAGAATATATATGATTTATAGGGTCGGAGACGTCTCCTTCACTGCGTTGCAAACTTCAGACTGAAATTATAATACCCTGCAAGGGTATAAATATTGTGATTGAACTAACTTTTGTCTTTGGCAAGATAAGGTTTGATGTTTAATTTTCCTCCTCTCATTTCAGTGATTTCTTTATATGCTAACTTATGTTTTTAACAATAATTTAAAGTAGTAAAATTAACTTGACTATTTTTAATTATTTCTTTATATGATAACTTATGTTTTTAACAATTACTTTAAGTAATTTTTCTGTGTGGAAGTCTGACTCCTCTATCTGGGGTCTCCAATTGGCCTGAGTGGCCTCTAGAGTTGGACTTTGTGCACATGACAAGCTGCTGTGGCTGCTGCATAGTCAAAAGGCTATGATCTAATCACTTATTTGTGAGATTTGCCTAAAAGTGATTTATTTTTTAGGATATTTTACTATTAAAGAGTTAAAGAAAATCTACTAGGATAACCAGTTTTCGTTGATTGGGAATATTTAATATAATTTATGAATAATCCTTTACTTGCACACTATTTAATCTTCATCTTAAAAACTTATTTTAACTCTAATTTGTGAAATAAATTAAACAATTTGTATGAAAGCTATACCAAACTATCTTGTAGGTTTGAAGTCGAGCTATGATCATAAAATCTTAGATTTAGGAACCATATCCCATAAGGTGGGAATGCATGTGTCTCCTAACCAATGGTGGGGAGCGAGAAACCCAGATCCGCTCCAGGAATAGCATTGACTTATGCAAATGCTGGGCAATCGCTTCCATTGCCTTGCATGCAGACCTTGCCTGTGCCATCGCCCGTGGCCCTGGCCGTGGCATTGCAGTTGCGAGTTGCGAGTTGCAGGTAGCCGGCCGAATGAATGAACGAGCAACCTGCTGCTGCAGGTAAGTTGGCAAAGGCTGTAATTTGCTTAAAAGCAGCGAACAAATAAAGGGTTTCAATGGCTCCCCGACCCCCAGCGGCAGACGGAGATAATGAATTGCAGAAGGGGATTCGGGTTTGGGTTCGGGATCGGGTTCTTTGGCTGTCTTCTTATGACGCCGGACGACAGCTGCCTGCCGGAGCAGCTCTTGAGTTCATGTCAGTCTAGGACTAGGATCATACAAAGTTTTAATTAAGAGTTTGTGTGCGGGACCCATGGCCACATTTAATTAGGACACATTTAGGAATATTCTTTAAGTAAAATATGTAAATGCTTGCAGCTCACTCGGCTTTTATTAATCGATAGAATTTATGACCATTTAGCTGGAAATGCATTTCTCTTTTTAAAATCCCCTATAATGTATACAATTCTAATGACTAAGCTAATAAAATACAAATTTGTATGGATATTTTTATTAAGAAAAAACTGTATTCAAAGTAAAATACACTAAGAAAAGACTGTTTAAAATTTGAAATAATAGATAACAAGTTTATGAGGGGTCAAGGTCTGAATAAAAGGTTTATAAAGGTTCTTATTTATAAGATTTTCAATAATATATTTTTATAATATATATATATAGAAGTAATAATAATTTTTAATCAATTTTTCAGTTGAAGTATTTATTGATTTTTATTTTTTAGAGTTCCTTTACATTTTATCAACTTTACTTTGAAATTTCATAACCAAATATTTTATGACTGCACTTGACCCCAGCTAAGAAACTAAAAAAGTGAAAAAATAAAATACAAATACTGATAAGGAGTTCCGCTAAAAATTGGAAATCAATTGGGACCCACACAGAGAGAGCTCGACCGAACGAAAATCCATTTAAATATCGAAATGGGGGAACTGCTGCCGCTGATAAATGCCTGCAAGGGGCTGCCAAGCGCGACTCCGATAAAGCCAAATGAAGAAACCGAAACCCCAAACCCAAACCGAAAACCAAACAGAAATTGAAACCCAAACGGCGCTATGGGGATTGAGGGCGAGGAGGCTAGCAATTCCGTTTGGCTTATCGGAGTGGAGCCAGGAATTTATTCATAAGCATTAATATTCCCGGGACTCGGGAGAACAACAACAGGTTCGGGCCGAATCCACCGGGTTCACTTGAACTCCAGTTCACGCAACAATCTTGCGACTGTGCGGAGTTGGCTCTGGAAATTGTTTAAGTATTTATTAAATTGCCTGGCTCTCCCAAGTGGCCGGGCGGCAGACGATGGCCAATCTGCACGATAATCATGGGGTGTGAAAAATTTATGAACGCCAGAGCCATCGCTGCGCACGCGCAAAATATGAAAAACCCTAACCGAAAAGCCCAGCGAATCCCAAGCGAAGCGCCGCAGAATCTGACAGCATAATGAATATATATGAATCTACATTAGGGTGGGATGATTTGTATAACCCAGCGGAGTCGGACCCCTTAAAAAATCCCCCAATGGAGAGAAAACCAGAGAGAATTTAAAGATTAAAGAACTATTATTTCCAGTAATTTAAAATATGAAAACAAAAATAATTTCCTACTGGAGTTAAATTGGAATTGAGTAGGTTAGGTTACAGGTTCATTAACTA